TTACCAACCAGAGTGATATATTTTATGTGTGAGTCCAGCTCTGACTTCAGAAGATTCTACATCCAGATGACATCAGAATTCAAAAGCAGAAGAGAGGCAAGGTGAGAAATGTCTCTAGCTCAAGCTCTTCCAAATTTCCTGACAAAATTTGAACAAAGTGGATGTTTGAGTCATAAAATTTTATAGTAATGGTATAAAATTTATCTTTAAGTAATATTTTAAATGTTGTATAATGTAACCATTCTCTTTTGTTGTTAAGATAGAAAACAAAACCAAATCTGTAAGAGTCATCTTTGGAAATGACTCCAATAAACAGAGCTTTGAATCATGAAGGATTCACATCAGAGAAATTGGCTAATCATGGCTTTTTCCCAAATCATGGGATTAGCCATGATTAGCCATGCTCCAATTCCAGAACTTGTGAGTCAGACTTTATTTGGTGGATCTTTGCAGATGGAATTAAGTTAAAGATCTTGAGATAAGGTCATTCTGGATTATCCTGGTGGAATCTCATTCAAATGACATATAAAAAGATATACAAATATATACTGTTTTTAAGGGCTGGAGCGATAGTACAGCGGTAGGGCATTTGCCTTGCACGCGGCCAACATGGCCAACCTGAGTTCGATTCCTCCGCCCCTCTTGGAGAGCCCAGCAAGCTACCGAGAGTAGCTTGCCTGCACGGTAGAGCCTGGCAAGCTACCCGTGACGTGTTCAATATGCCAAACACAGTAACAACAAGTCTCATGATGGAGACGTTACTGGGCCCGATCGAGCAAATCGATGAACAACGGGAGGACCGTGACCGTGACTGTTTTTAAAAATATGTAAAATGTATGTGCATATTATATATAAAATTATGCTTATAAGGGTCTAGTGTTATAGCCAAGTTTTAGTGTACATATCCATGTCAAAAAATGGATATAAACTATATCTTGCATTTAATAATATTTAGTGTCTTTCCTGTGTGCTCCTTATTTTCTTTTTTTAATGTTATCTTTCTTTTTTTGTCTTTTGAGTCACACTGGTAGCACTCAAGGACTCAGAGCACTCTGGCTCTGCTCAGGAGTGATCCATGGCAGTGCTCAGGGTACATATGTAGAGCTGGAGAATTGAACTAAGGTCACAGCTACTGCAACCACATGCAAGGCAAATACTTTACTTCCTGTCCTTATTTGTTAGTCCTCTTCTAGATTTCTAATATATATATATATAATATGTATATATATTATATGTATATTACAGGGAAGAATTTCAGATGGCCCAAGGAACCTGAAAACAAAATCATGGAACAATGGAGTAGGAGATGGTGGAGCAGGACTAAAACCAAAGACTTTCCATCTCTCAGAATCCAGGGTTTGTCACCACAGTCATGCTGCTTTCTGGGTCACATATCCCCCTCAAGAAAAAATGAGTGTTCTCATGTGTTTCAGGTAAACAGAGCTCCCTTTCCTTTGTCCATCTTCCCAAAGGTTTAGAAAGCAATAAGCATTTAATAGAACACAGATTCATTTCATGGTCAAATGCAAACTGGTAATAGTAATAACAAAAAATAAATGCTTTTGTCCAACACTTATGAATAGCATCTTGATTACAGTAATTGTCACTGCTCTCCCAAGCAGGTCCTATCATTATCCCTATTGTATACATTAGGGGGCTGAAGGAATAAGGCTTAAAAGGATGGCAGGAGTTAGAAATCAAGTCAGTGGCAGAGCTGAGATTTGAACCAAAGAGATGGAAAAGTCCCCATTTAAAAATTTTGTTATGATTATTTTGACAAAACAAAATTTTCAAAGGCCTTTAATCTTTTCTGATGACCCTCTGGCACAAAGACTTAAGAGTTCTGTTTCTGCCATTCTCAGCATGGATGAAGAGAAAACCTGGAGGACAATTTCAGAAGCTCTGTGCCACATAGCCTGCTGGCAAAAGTGATTTTTAAGGATCAATAATGTGTGTTTGTGTGCATTTTGTGGGTGGGGGGGAGGGAACGTGCGTTTATGTGTAGAGGGAGGGAAGGAGAGAAAGAGAGGGAGCAAGCATTTCACAGCATGTGCAATTTCAGCTTAATTAGAATAGGAAGACTATTAACAAGTTATTTTTAAATGCACCAAAGATCAGGAGGTGTATTAGAATTAAATTACACTGTGTGAGGCTGATTGGCAGGCCATGTAATGTGGGAAAGTTCACAATCTTGCCTTTATCAGCACAGTTTGCAAAGTAAACCCGAACACCATGGCCCCAAATTCAAGAATCTGGAGCTGTAATTATTCAAGGTTAAAAAAAAATACAAACCTAATTGGAAATGTGATAAGCAACAATTAGGCAGCTTATTTCAGGAGGAAAATGAACAGAACGAACAGATGCCAACTGCAGTGACTTTTGTGTAAAGGGATGGACACACTTGTTTAAATGAAAAGTTCCCTGTCACCCAGGGAAGGCATCCAGCCTCAGGATGAGGTCATTAGCATGTAATTTGCATAGAGAGCTTGAAACAAAGACTACCGCCGCCCAGCTGAAGCTCCTGGGCACAAAGAGCATCTGCAAGCAAGGGCTGAGCACTGGGTCCCTGCTGAGGGGCTGTGGAGATTTATTGTCAACTGGGGGCTGTTCCTGACTTTGCAGTGGCACGAACTGGAATAAGCCCAGCAAAAATGGAGCTGCAAGAGGCCCAGACCACCATGGTTCCAGTTTTAGTTGAAGGTCTTGGGCTGCAGCCCAGAATGCCTTTGAGGAAAGTTTCTCTTCCTGGATTCCCTGAGGACCAACTTCCTTCCAGAGTAAACCTCCCTCCTTTGTGATTTACGCAAAGGGCAGATTCTCTCTGGAACATTTCAGAGACTCTCCAGCGTGCCCTCTGATTCCTGGATGAGGTGTGTCAGGATGAGAAGGTAGAGCCTGGAGCCTGGCTGCTCTTGTTTAAATTCTGGTTTAGGATGGCTCACTGAGGAGACTCCTAACAAGGCCTTGCCTCAGTTTCCTCAGCTTGCATCTGGAAGGAGAAGTGACGATTATAACACATAAGGAGGAAGAGCCCAGATAGTGTCTGGTGTGGGTGGGTCACAATCATTCACTCCTGCGTAAGGGCTGTTATCTGTTGACTCCACTGAAGAAGTCGATTCATGTTTTCAAACTCAGCTGTATTTCCAGCAATAATATTTATTAAAGTCCAGGCTAGTTTGTTTATGTTTTTTCTAACATGTGTGAAAAACAGATCCACTGAAATAATGTTTTTTAAAGGTTGGCACAAGCCAAAATCAGCTAAAGTACCATGTGTTTGGTAATGCCCCCTGCCACAGTCGCTGACCTTTCAGCTGTTCTCTTGACCCAAATTTACACAACATCTACAGGTGTGTAGAGAGGCAGCTCCCTGCCTGCTTCTCCCCTGGCTCCACTAAGCACCCAAACCTGGGGGAGAGAGCTGAGACCCCGAGAACACCACACAGAAGAGGATCATCGGGACAATCCTTTACCTTGGAAGGCGGCTTGAAGAAGACAAAAGAAGCACCAGGTATTCTAACATGTTATTCTAAATTTTAGCTCCTAGAGAGCAGGGCTTTGGCTCTAGATTGTCCTGTGAGATTCTAGACTTTTCCTTGAGTTTTCTGAACACTATTTCTTATCTTTACCGCATAGCGTTAGTGGAGCCTTAGAGTTCCGCAGAGGACAGACACAATTCTATTCTAAATTTATTATCAGAGCGGTTATATAGCTCGTTATTACTCGTTGGGTCATCTGGGCTAGCATCTTCATGCACTAAACCTGATGGGCTTTTGCATTGCTTCCTAACATGTGTGAAAAACTGAGACCTCTGCAGTTTGGAATTTTTTCTTGTGCGTTGTTGTGTGGTTGGAGCCTACAGTTAGAATATCTTTGTATATTTATGTGAAGTTATGGAGAGGTGAAGAAATTCTCGGCCACGGAGCTAAATGGTGCTCCTGAGTTCAATCCAGAGCCCCCAATGCCTGCTTGGCCTTTAGTTTTCAGGGAAGATAGCTCAGCAGAGTCAAGCCAGTATGGTTAGTAGTCCTCCCTTCTTTGATGGCGGGGTTCAATTTTGACCTGGGGAACAAAACAGTGCTCCTGAGTTCACAGTCCAGAGTCTCAGGCTGTTAAGTGGTAATCATCGTATCAGTAACCACTGAAGATGCCACACTACTAAAGATAGAATTGTATTATATGGCATCATCTAGTTCAGTAGTTTAGTAGTTCCGAAATGAGAGTGACTTTTGTCTCCTGAGACATTTGGCAATGTTTGGTGACATTTTGGGTTGTAGCCATAGAGTAAGAGTTAGTGGGTATAGACCAGGGAGGCTGCTACGCAGCCTACTGTTCTCCTCACTGCTCAAATTATCCAATGCAAAATGGCGGTAGTGCTGAGATTTAAAAACCCTGATGTTGTTGGGGCTAGATTAACCCTTAAGAGACCATTTAGAACTTAGCGCAAGAGACCTAAGAAGCCACAGAATCTCTCAGAAGAGAAAGCTCAACGTCTGGGCAGAAAGTCAATACACGTTTTTGCAATGCCTTCAAGCCAACTGCTAAGGCACATTCATCATGTAATGCAAATAAGCTGATGAAAAGTCTAGCGGGAGGTTGTGATTGAGTCTAAGGAGAGGAAAGTAGCCTGACAACTGGCAGGAATCAGAGGATAGTCATCTGCCCGCTCGCATGTGCAAAAGATAGACTGTAAGAAGCAGGTGTGCACACTTCTAACCCCAACCTTGGCTCTGCTTATTCCGCAAGAGTCATTTGTGCAGACGGAGGCAGCTCTGGACTGAGGGAGGCAGAGGTATCATGTCAGGGCCCTGGGAGACGGGGGCCAGGAACCAACAGCATCTGCTGCATTTCAGATTACTGAACTTTGGCCACTGCTTTTTAAGAAAGGAAAATCCAAACTGTCAGTTGGACATGATCTGAAATGTGAAAAAAATTTTATGACCACTTCTGCATAAATGGCAAGTAAGCATAGCTACAATAAATAGAAACAGGAGGCAGGAAGCTGACCTGAGTATTTTTACTTTATTCAATCTAATAAACATTTTATTTATATAAAAGACAAGGCATAAAATGGAAATAAGTGCTTGAGACATTTGATATAAAAAGAGTATATAGCATTTCACATTCCTATTTTAATACATGATTACTGTTGAAATGTTCCATAAAAGAATAAAACTTTCTTTTTTATGCATAGTAGCATTTTTAGGAACTATAGAATGTAGTCTTGGTCTTTTTCTTGAGCACAAAAAATAAACAAAAAGAGCCACAGTATCACCTGACACTACATTCCAGTTTAGGCTGATGATGACCAAGAAATGATAAAAACTCTTGAATTTTGGAGATCCTACTGATCGACCGGTATTCTAGAAATTCGCCACTAGAGGTCAATGAGCAACAGCTGTTGAGATGGTATCAAAGAGCCCTAAGGAGTACAAAATTCCTAGGCATTTCACACTACAGCCAGTCTATCTTGAACTCTCTCAGTCTACCCACACTGAGTAGGGTTCTAGAAAGTTCCACCTAATCTCAAATGCCAACATATCCTGTGAAAACCCAATGAGATGGAGACCTTTTCAAATCTAAAATCGAGCTGATCTGCTCATAGCCGGTCCCTTGTAAAATTCCTATTTGGCTGAAAATAAGTAGCTTCAAACACATTTCTTAAAAAAAAAAGAGAGATTGTTATTTGCAGCATGAATACATGTTTATGGATTAACATGCTTCCTATAGAGTATTAAAGCTCAGTCTTTGTTCTTGTCCATGTGGACACAAATTGCCTAACTGCAAATGGGACTCTTGTGTCTCTCATTCAAGTCCTCACTTGTAAATTCTGCAGAGGTTGGTAAGGCTGAAATGACAAGCCATTAACATGGCCAAAAGCTTCTTGGAGAAAAAGAGCTCCCCTCCCAGATGCAGGGGAGAAAACTCTTAACATATAAGCACAGAAGATTTGTTTACAGGGACCCTGTAGAGAAGGTCTTCTTTAGTCTTTAAAAAAAAATCAACATCCTATCTTAACCCCAGACAGAGTAAAGGATGTGATAAAAACCATACTATAGAGCCAAAGAATGGCTGTTTAAATGCACATTTCTTATAAGGGAGCTTGGTTAAGGGTAAGCTCAACTTGCAGACTGGGGTGGGAGTGGGCAATGGGAACCATCATTGTTGGCAAGAAGTGAAGCAGCTTTCTCTAATTGCCGGCCTTTTTGTTTAGTGAATGATAGAGCCTGGAGAAAACAGGAAATCATCTGCTCTCTATCCTCACTGGGGGACCCAGATATTTTTTGCAGTCTCCAAATATTGAAAAAGTGACTTACTTTTGTTCAGCGCTGTGCTGGCCAAGCAAAATGTAGGTTCAAAGTGCCCGAGGCAGCAGTCCTGACTGTAGCAGCTCAAATACTTCCCACCTGTGCCAAATGTACTCACACTTCAGGAACCCAGAAAAAAAAAAAAAGAGAACCTACTGCTGCTTGCACAGACAGCTAGAGTCCTAAGTCAAATGTGATGAAAAATTTTAGAGGATGAACCCAAAAGGGGAAATTTGTTCCCTTGTAGGAATGAGTGGGAGAAGGTCTGAGATTTGGACTAGAAACAGGAGGGGGTTGGGGTGAGCTGGGGATGATGGGGCGGTGCTTCAAAAGAAGAATCTTTCCTCAGGATGAAAGGTGGCCAGTGGATGATTAACCGATTAAAGAAAACTGTCCTGCTTTTTTTCCTGAAGTCTGAGGTCAAGAAATGAGATTGCAAATGTCTATGCTCTTAGAGTTTCGAGCTAGTTGAGGAAGGTAGTTCATGAGTCATAGGTAAGAGCCTGAAGCTCAGGTGAAAAGTCCAGGGCTGACACAACGGCCGTATTGTTTCTGATCCTCAGTATCTAACCACAAACAGTGTGGCCCAATAGGACCCTCTGAACAGCAGACTCTCATTCACTCCACAGCCAGAAGAGAACCCATGGGCAGGGCCTGGTTTTGCAAAGGCTAGTGCAGTGCAACTGTCCTGAACTCTGTCTGAAACAAGCGCCACTCCTCTAAAACCAAGTGTGCCCCTGCGTAGTCAGAGGACCAGGCTTTGAACGATGATTGCATGCTAATGCTGCCATGGGCCCCTTCCTGCAGGGTGCTGTTCCAGAGCTCTCTCATCCAACCCATTTCCTAGGAATCTTTTCTTTTTTTTCCTTGTCTCTTTCCAGAGTATGGCTGTATATATATATATATATAGATATAGATATGACATATATAGAAATGTATATAAAACATAGCTATTCCATATTTATATACAGGCATTAATAAAGTGCAAATGTTATTGGCTATTGTCAAAAATCAACTCATTTCCTGAGGAAGTGCTAAGAGCTTATCCTATGACAATGTCAAAGGCACAGAATGCTTCCTGTCACCCACTCCCCTCTGCCATGGTGGCTGCTCTCTCTCCCCCACAGCTGACAGGAAGAAGAAAAAACAGGTTTCCAGGAAGCTCCGGTTCCGGGGCAGCTTCTTGCTGCCTCTGTTCTTTGGTGATGGGGTGGCCTCCTTGGCTTAGGCCAGGCCTGCCCTGGAAGAGCTATTTGGTAGTGTTCAGAGAGCCATCTTCGGGAATCTTCTCCTCAGAGCAGCTCCGTCCTGAGAGTCGGTCCAGGTGCTCCAGCTCGCTGAAGCGTTCTGCCACACACTGGGCCGTGAGCCGGGCCTCTGGGTCGTGGTCCCAGCACTCAGTCAGCGTCTCACACACCATCTGGATGCCCTGCAGAGGGAGAGAAAGTCCACAGGTGCCCTGAGTCACTGGGCTCCACGGAGGGTGCGGGGGCCCATGAAGGGAAGGGCCCTTTGGTGGCCATTACTGCCTGGGAAACCTATAGTTTCTACTACTTAGGGGCTTATTTGCTCAACTCAGGCCAGGAAATAGAAAAAGCACACAAGAAGTCTCTAGTAGGCTTTAGGAAGTACAGAGCAGCATCTTCAATATCTGAAAACTCCCATAAAATGATACCTAAAACCATTCTACACCCTCCCATGTTTTACAAGAGACTTTATTGTTTTTAAAAAATGTCAGTGAAGAGCAGTTTTAAGTTCACAGCAAAATTGGGTGGACAGAGGGTCTCCACACACAAGATCCCAGCCCCAAATAATAGGTTCTCTATATGTATCAATGGGTTCATCTCTCACAAAGCCCATGGTTAACACGAGAGTCTGTGCTATGCTGTCTGACATTGGTGCTATAATATATTGGTAGACTGACCTGGATCCACCATTGTCATTTGCATGCAATAATTTCACTTCCCTAAAAGTCCTCTGCATCTAGTTACCCTGCCTGGTTTCCATCCCCAAGTCTCAGGTAGTCATTAACATTTTTACTCTTCCTACAGTTCTGTCTTTTCCAGAATTATCTCACAGTTGGATTCATTTAAACATTTCTATTTTCCTAGTACTAAACACCAATCAGAGTGGAATCCGAACAATAGTCTAGCTTCATTTCATCAGTTTGACCTATGGAGTGATTCAATAGTAGCCTTTGGTAGCCAACAAGGATGCCTATTGCCATAGCACCCTCCTCTCCAACAGAAGGCTGCACCCAGGGAGAACAATGTCTTTGAAATTCAGATGAGCTTGACTCCAGTCTGTTTTAAAAAATTCAACTTCACTCCATAAAGGTCCCATTCAAAAGACTCATACAGGAGCCAGAGTGGTTCTACAGGATCTAAGACCTCTGCCTTGCATTCAATTTACATCCTGGTTCAATCCCTGGCACTGCCTATGGTCCAAGCACGACCTGGGGGTCACTTCTGAGCTAAGAAAAGCACCTGAGCACAGTCAGGTGAAAGCCGTAAAACAAAAGACTTCTCTAGATTACACTGTCCAGCAGGGTGTCAGAAGTCTTCTTCTTCAGAGCATTTATTTCATTTTACTGTGCAAATACATTTATTACTATTTCAAGTTTTTTCTGGAAGTAAAACAGAGGGGCTAAGTAGATAGTCCAACAGGTGGTAATTTAATGTGCTTTAGCCAGTAAGAGAAGCTTAAGGGTCCCAGATGAGAGAGACAAAGCCCCACACTGTCCTGTTGGGGACAAACACGTCTCCATTTGCCCTCTGACACCATCCACTCTCCCCAGATACCCTCTCTCCATGCCCTGCAAGTGAGTTCATGATGTTGAATTAATTGTATAATTCACCTAATTGACGGAATTGATTGATGTCCCTGTTAAGAGTAGAGTGTTATTGTTGGTACACAAGGAACATTTATTTTATTTTGGCACTGTAATTACAGGCAGTAAATTAAATTAAATATTAAGCATTAACTTGAAATCAATAGGGCAACAAATCTCATTAAGAAAAAAAAATGTATTATGCTAATTCTTTCCAGAATTTTATCATCATGAATAATGGCTTCATTACGAGAACCAACACAGCAGAGGCGGCAACTGTTTGAAGGAAACCACATCAGTGTCTGCCTTCTGATTTCTGAGATGAGGGCAGAGACTCACATTCACAGAGTATGCAGGGGTTTTGCCTGAAAGACCTGCAGAAGCCTCAGCTGGCACAGGCTGGATCAAGTTAGGCTGCCCCAATTTCATGGTCCTAGTCTAGCATGGGTGGGACCCAGCCCCATTTGTCCTCCTAACTGTGGCTGGCTGGGAGCTCCAGCCTTTCTGAATTTGCTTTGCTCTTGAAAATGTCTCAGACGTAGCCGTAGCCTTTACAGAATAAGGAAATTACCCACAGGAGCTAGCAAAGGATTCCAGCCCATAGGCCAGACTGTCCCTGTTCCTTCTTCGCTCTCAGCTCTTTCCTGCAATGTCAGGTGTTCTCTCACTGCTTATGAGCTGCTGACCTGCTATTTTCTTCTCAGAATACTCCCAAAGAATTGGGACAGGCCTCCCAAGGTGCAGAATCTGTACTCGCCCGTGGATGGCATTGCCTTCCACCAAGTCTTGATTGCTTTGCTCACATTCTTCTCTTTCCTGGTCTTCATCTACTCCTGAAGAAGCCTTTCCTGTCTATTCATAGCCATGAATGCTGTGCTCGCGTCCTGACCCGACCCGGCAGTCAGCAAAGGCTGTTTCTTTCTCATTCTCGCATCTTCTTGCTTCTCTCTCAGTTTGTGACATAGTTCATCCCCAAGTAGAAGAATCGCAGAAGACATTTGGAACTCATTGGAAAACACTTGGAACAAAACATAAACTCCCCACGTAAAAGCAGGGGAGTGAGTAGAAAAGGTTGCACACAAAGTATTGTAATCCAGAACCCAGGGAATTGGATCTGGCAATGCATGCTCCTCAAAAGATTACTTGAAATTCCCCTTTGGGAAATGCATCTCCCCGCTTGGCTGGAGCTCATGATAGGGTTTCAATTCTCTTTTATTGAAATTGTCTTGTAAACAAAGGATTATAGAACACAAGGGGACCAGCCTTCACATGGAAGCCCAACCTTCCAGACCTTTCATTTTCATAACTCTTTGGAAATCCATCTGATTCGGCTCTTACCTGGTGATTGAGCCAGGAGCTCGGGATTTCTGGTCGTCCTCGATCTCTCAGCACATTGTCCTTCATGCTTTCTACACAGGGATGCTCCCGTACCTTGGAACCAAATGGTGGCTCATAATCTTTCACTTCTGTTAAGAAAACAGCAAACACAGGGTCCTTGAGAAGGAAGTCAGTGAGAGGATTGGGGTGAAGGGGGATGCACCCATTGTATAAACTGGCAGGGCTTGAGGAAAGGAGTGTTAAAACATATTTATGTTCATTTTAACCTCAATGTTTAACAACAGTGGGTTAAACACAAAAGGAAGAAATAGTAGTGGAAGAAGCTTTAGAAGCAATTGTCATGGGATTATTGATGTCTGCTGTATACTAGACTATTCTACAACTGGAGGCAAACTCAGCTGTATCAACATGATCAACAAGCCTACATCTAAACACAGCAAATATTAAAGGGAGACATGGTTCCTTTTAAGGGGTAAAGTGATTCTTTGGTGGGAGAAAAATCTTGTGTATGACCATGGTTGTGGACCCAGAACTTACACAGATTTAATGTGTGATGTTAAGTTCCACAGGAATATTCAGTCATAAAAAGGAGTGAAATTCTGACCCATGTTATAGCATAAATGAATCTTTAAAAGCATTGTAGTACTGTAGCACTGTCCTCCCGTTGTTCATCGATTTGCTTGAGCGGGCTCCAGTAAAGTCTGCATTGTGAGACTTGTTTTTACTATTTTTGGCATACTGCTTCTCAGCCTTTTGGCTAAGATCAAATGTAGTGTTCTTTACAAGCGTTATGTTATATAAAGCAAGTAAGACATAATAGGAAAAATCCTATATGATTCTACATACACAACGTATCTAGTGTAGGAAAATTTATAGCAATTGAGTGGTTTCGAGGGGTAGAGGAGGTCTGGTGGAAGAAATGGATGGTTTCTATTTTATTCATATGAGTTTCAGCTGAGGGAGATGAAACTTCTGGAAAGAGATAATGGTGAAGCTTGAACAGCATTGTGAATGTAATTAATGTTAGTGAACTCTTCACTTAAGATGGTTAATTTATAATTGTTAATAAATTGGTCAATTTTATGTTATAGGTATCTTACCATGAGGATAAAAATTTATGGGGAGAGATGATGAAGTAGAAAAAAAAGGTCAAAACAACTCCTTATTATTGCAATAAAGAAAAAAAAGTTACAAAACATTAAAGGGGATTATACAGGACATGGTTTAACATGAACATCAAATAGAATTCTAAAAAGTCACTTTTCCTTCAAGAACCCATGCTATAAAAAAAAATAGAGGATAGCATAAACCTTTCACTAGGGATCAGATTTCAACAAAGGTTGATTTCTTTTTAGAAACTTCCTTCCACATTTTCTAAGACAGCAAGTTTCCACCTTCTCACCCCTGCGGCCCAGTCATTTTGGATGTCCTGGGCAATGCTGCTTTTTTAGGTATCATATTTTACAATGAGCTATTTGTCTCACCTAACAAGGTTCATGCATTTGAGGAAGACTAATGCCCTTTTCTTTTGAAGTACGCAACGCATTCACAACATGGACCCTCACATTGCAATAAAATCCCCATAAATGCTTTGGGGAGGAATAAAATTATAAATGAGTGGATAGATCTCACATTCAGGCCAAAGCGAAGTGCATGCACTCTAGATGAATATAAAAACAGTACACTAATTTAAGTGAGTGGATCAGTGCTGCAATGGGCAATTAAAAAAAGAAAACAATTCAGCATAAGCTAAAAGGGAGAGAGTGGGATGCAGTCAACACTTTTTTTCCAAAGCATGTAGGACCTGTAACATTTAGCTTCAAAGTAATCATATCTAATTAGCAAACCTTCCAGTAACTCCCTCAAAGACTAAGAATTAGTCTTCCAAAACTAAATTTTCAATGGCAAAATGACACTCTAAGAAGGATGGTTTCTTTAGTTTCATTAGTTTTCCCTACTTCCCAGAACCCTACTTGACTATTTATCTTCTTCAGCCTCACCCAAGTAGAAAAGCTGTCAGGATATTTCCTTTTATCATAGTTTGAAATATAAGGTTATTTTGTGTAAAGACCTCCAACTACATGAAGACAAGACAAACCTTCTGTGTGTGTCTGATCTCGTATTCACATGCCCCAAACACGCAATTCATATTGTTCTTGGGCTAAATCTGGGCTTTGATTTGCATAATGGTATTTCCCTCCCCAACCCCACTCCCCACTCTCTTATCCCCTATCAAGCTGTATGTTCAAGGCTGAAGTTTAAGATTGTGTTTGGCAATTCTCTGCTTAGGGTTTAAAACTTGTCTTGTACATATACATTTTACCAATATGAGGCGGGACCAATATGAGCCACCACCATGCTGAGACCACTCTCCGCACACATGAAGGTACTGGCAGAGGGACAAAGCCACGCGGGTTCCGGGGCCGAGACCTCCAAGCCTACTCGAATTGGAGTCGAGCATCTTCCACCCAGATCCTCCAAATTCCAGTAGGTGAGGGTCACACCCACCACCTGGCCCCCTGGCGCCGTGTAATCCCATCAGCGGCCAAGACTCAGAGACTATAAAATCCAGATCCCGGAACCGCGCGGCCGCATTTGCGGCCGCGCGACATCTTATCAGAACTTTTTTTTTTTTTGACATCTTATTGTCTCATTACTTTGGACAAACTTGCAGGCTATCGAATGTAGCCTGCCCACAGGGCAGAGTCTGGCAAACTCCCCATGGCGTACCAAATATGCCAGATACCAGTAACAATGATGGGTCTCATTCTCCTAAATAGCCTTGAATATAATCTCAGGGCTAGGATGAAAGAGACGTTACTGGGGCCTGCTCGAGGCAATCGACAAATAACAGGATGATGAAATGAAATGAAATGAATGAGGCGGGACGAACTCAAGCAAAATCAGAGAACTGAGACTCAGCATTTTGTTCTTGGTAAGAATCTAATCTGACATAACCTGTCTCCTCTACAAAATGATGAGGCTGAACTTGGAAGTTCGCCTGAGCTATTTTCTATCAATCAAAGCAAGTAACATGATTCCCTTTAAGTGTTGTGCTTTAAGATGTGCATATGCTAACCATCTCATAGGATAGGATTGTATATGGCATAAATTAATCCTCAAATAAAGTATCAGTTCACTGATTCTCCATTTCAAACTATTTTGGCTCTGATAGCAGGTGCTTGGCTTCCTGCCTAGACCTCTTTATCAAACCAAGAGCACCAGACCCCAGCTGGTCTTAAGGGCTCACACCTAGACCCTTCTCTGGAACACTGCCCTTGCTGATGAGAGATGTCTGGCTGGAAATTTCTGGAACATGACAGCTTCACCCTTAGGGGCAGTATGTGGCCAATCACAAATTATTGTGAGAGTTTAAATAGTCTAACCCTCTTGAGCCTCTGCAGGAGATAGCTGTGGTGAAATTCAATTTCCAGAGCTCCCCTGGAGTTCAGGGTCTAGCTAGACCTCTCCTAAAATGAGAGATTTTATGATCTTCTGCCTCTTGTTTCTCTTACACGCCTCTTCTGATGCCTTATTCTCAATGAGCTATCACACAAAGATCTTTGTGTCAAACACAACTTCCGGGAAAGAAAGCTGGAAACAGTTGCCCAAAAAGCGTTTTCTCCTTTCTCCCTCCCTATGTCTCTCTCAGTTACACTGCAGCATCTGACAGTAGTGGCCTAACTACACAGAGGGGAAGCACTGATGTTGCCTTTTTTGAAATCATGAAATGAAATTACCAATACCTAATAGAATATTCAGGACTAGGCGAGAGCTGACAGGGGGAGCATTGGGAGAAGAAATGTCAGTATCAAAATTCTCCCAGATGTCTGTATCATGGCCGACAGCTCTCCAGAACTCAGAAAAAGTGTCTGGCATTGGGATCATAACCCAAGGTCAATTTACTTCAAATCCTAAGCTTCAAAGCGCTACAAACCACAGCAGATATTTTAAATTTGTCATTTTTAAGTGCTGAGTGGACCAAAGCAGATTCAATAGGGAATGAGGTAGAAGTGTGTGTGGGGGGGAGGGTCTATATCACTGTGCATAGGGTTTGGGACAATTTTATGTCTTAATAAAATGTAATACATGGCTCTATAGCAAAAGAGAGGAAAAAATTCCTTTGCCAGTACTAAGATAATCTTAACGGGATCACTTTCTATTTTTCCTAAAACCTTGGTTAGTTGGGTAAGTTGTGACATCCCTCACAATTAATTCCCCAGAGATACAAAGCTTACTTCACATCTTTTTTTTTTCTTTTTGGGTTACACCTGGCGATGAACATGGATTACTCCTGGCTCTTCACTCAGGAATTACCCCTGGAAGTGCTCAGGGGACCATATGGAATACTGGGAATCGAACCCGGCTCGGCCATGTGCAAGGCAAATGCCCTACCCACTGTGCTATTGCTCCAGTCCCTCACTTCACATCTTGACCTTTTCAAAGACCACAGAGGGCTGCAGAGGAAGGAAATTTTGGGGGTGTCTGAAAGGAGCTAGCAAAGGAAAAGATGTTCTGAGTCACACTGCGCGAATAGAAGCATCACTCTCCTACCTCCTTCCAAGTTTAGTTTCTGTAACATTCTGTTTTGGGGCCATACTGAGCAGTGCTTGGGGCTCCTTCTGGTTCTGTGTTCTAGGGCCAATCCCTCTCATTCCTTAGGGGCCATGCAGTGCTGGATTTGGAACTTGGGCATCCTACATGCAAGACACCTACTGAGCTATCTTTCTGGATCTTCTTTCAAGTTGAACAGACAATGCAATGACAATAACAAGCTCAACAGCCAAGTCTGGCAGAGCATTATTTGATCCCAGACATTTTCTAATTCTTTAACACTCAAGTCATTTTTCAGAGGCCAGAGACCTAGTATAATGGATTAGAGCACATACTTTTTTTTGCCCAGGCACGTCACTGTCCCTCAAATCCTACTGGGAGCAATCCCTGGGCACAGAGCTGGGAGTGGCCCCTATGCACTACTGGGTGTGTCCAAAGCATAAAACAAAACAAAACAACCCCCTACCCTGACAAAAACAAAACAAAACAAACAAAAAAAAAACTTAGCTTCTCAGGTTAGAGAGGGGACGATGATTTAAAATGCACACATATTTTACTGGTGCTCAGAGGATAA